TAAAAGTGTCTTTAAATGCCGGGACAGGAACCAAGGGAGGCTTGCCTCGTGGCCGGGCAGAGCCTGTGAATGCAGAATGGCCACCCCGTCCATTCTGAAAGGGTACCCTGCCACGGGTGTGTGGGGGAGTATTTGTGTGTATTGGGTTCCGCGTGTTCGTGCGTATGTATATTCGTGTGTGTTTGTATGTATATTGAACGTGTGCATTGTGCACTGTGTGCATGTATTTGTGTGTGTTTATGTGTGTTGTATGTGTTTTGTGTGTGTATTATGTGTGTTGTGTGTGCATGTATGTGTGTGTAGTGTATATTTGTGTGTGGCATTTGTATATATGTTTGTGTATTGAGTATATGGTGTGTGTTGTGTACTGTGTGCGCATGTTTGTGTTTGTGTCATGTGTACGTTTGTGTGTTTGCAGGGTGTCTGTGTGTGTGTATTGTGTATTTGTGTGTGTGTTTATGTTTGTGTACTGAGTGTATGTTGTGTGTACGTGTGTGTATGTGTGTATGGTATATTTCTGTGTTGTGTGTGTGTGTTTATAGCTATGTGTGTGTGTGTGTGTATTGAGCATGCGCTTGTGTGGTGTGTGTATGTGTGTGTACTGTGTGTGTGTGAGTGTGCGTGTGTACTGTGTGTGAGTGTGCATGTGTACTGTGTGTGTGTGTGTCATGCATACAGGTCAGAATGTGCATTTGTGTACATGGTGTGTGTGTGTCCAGTGCTGTGCGAGGCAGTGGTCAAGACGAAATCGATTCACTCTGACCCTGACTTTCTCCAAGGCCTTCCTTGCCCAGTGCCCCATGGGCTCTCCCAGACCTTGCTCTGCCGCACAATCCATATCCTGATGCACAACTTGAGGGGGTGTATCACTGGTGGGAAAAGCCCTAATTCTGAGAGTGCTCGTGTCCGTCCGTGGGCTGAACCTCGCTGACTGTGCAGGGGGACAGCCCTGGCTGGCGGGGGCTCCCGTGCAGGGGCGTTCCGGTGGGTGGGTCCCTCCCTCCCCTGGAATCAGGGTGTGACACTCTCGCTCCCCAGCTTCCTCCCTTGAAAGCTTAGGGACTCCACCTCCAAGGTGTCTGCAATTCAAAACCACACAGGGTGACTTCTCCAGTTTCAAGTTCATTTGAAATCAGGCAAATCCTCTCCCCCAGGGAGACTCCGCCAGAACTTTTCATGTCATCCAGCTTTTCTGAGAACGAGAGCCGGCCTGCCAAGTGGAAGTCCCCGGGTGAACACTATCGCTGAGCCCCATAAGTTATTTTAATGTAGACATCACTTTAAACTAACCTTCCGCCATCTGTTCCGTCCTCTAACAACAAAGGCACGAGCGCGTGGGTCTCCGCGGCCTCCTCAGCCGATGGGCACGGCGGCCGCGCGTCTGTGCTGTCTATTCATGGCCCTACCATGGGCTTCTGCGGTGTTTTTCTCATTTGCCAGACACAAATCAAGGGGAAGCGGCTCTCCCCTGGCCTGGCAGATGCACTTGCACAGTATTTCTTCTTAATGCGGTAAACTGTGGGAGAATTCAGAGCACTTTGAGAGCCGATGCTAAGAGCCCACACACAGCCGCCCGCCGTCCGCTGTGTTTCAGAGGAGGCCCAAACCGGCCTGGAGAATAAGCAAATGCAGCCTGATGGCCAAAACGTAATGAGATTTGCTTGAAAAAAACTCTCTTTAAATAGGTGGTGGATTATTTTCAGCAGTCTCATCATTAAATTTCCCTATGAAAGAGGGATGGGTTCGCCCAAAGCTGCAGCAACAGCGCACGGCGAATCCCGTCCTTCGGGCTGCTGAAGACCCATCACTCATGCCCACCTCCCGCCCCCGGACGACTGGGCCTGGCTCCACGTGTTCTCCTCAGCCCAGTGCCACTCGGCGCCTCGAGGGCCTGCCGTGTGCTCTGAGTGCTCTTTTCCTCACCCAAAGCCCTCGGAGAAGCGCCGCACCCCCAGACGGCAGGGCTGGTAGGCTCGTACTTCCCCAGCTGCCCACTCTCCTGGGATTGTGACCTCTTACCTTTCCCCCACCCCCGAGGAGCAAGTCATTAGAGGCCACAGGGAGGGAGGCTCTTCCCTCTATCTAGACGCCACCACATATACCCTGGTGTCATGGTGGAGAAGAGACGGGTTTTGCCCACAGAAGGGCCGCAGGAGTCACATTGCTGGTGACGTTGGGTAATAGAGGGAGGGGTGATAAAGGCCCAGTCGGAGGCTTTTCCCAGCTACTGTTGAGGGGCCCAGGCCCAGACTTCCCAACGTCGCTGTCTCCGAAGCCCTGCTTGCTGCGTGCAGCTCAGGGCAGAGCCGGGAAGGGCATACCTGATCCTGGAAAAGTCAGGCGGCGCATTGTGGGCGGAGCAAAGACGCACCTCACAGTCTGCATGTGTCTGCACATGTGTGCACAGGAGAGTGTGTATGCCGCACACCACAGGCCTGCAGACCTCCTCTCCTGGCCGTGTCTCCCAGCACATGAGCAGCCCCACACTGGCACCTGTATGATGGAAACAGCATCTCCTTCTTCCTACAGGGAAAACAGCTTTTTCCTGTTATGACATGAGGCAGTCTTGGGGTGGCCGGTGTGCTGGACACCATGCTCCTACGCTGAGGAGCAGCTCTGGGGTGCAGATGCTAAGTGCTGGCTGAGGAAAGATGTTCTCCACAAGGCTGAACTCTCCACAAACTGCAGTTTCTCTGGGGGATGGCTTGCTTTCTCTGGTGCAAATTGAACTGGAAAGGGTACTCTATGGAAGCTGTTTGGCGCCTCTATGAAGGCTAGCCTATGACTGCCATCGTGCTGCAGAGATGAGGTGCCTGGTGAGGAGCCAGCCCGCGGTTTCTGAGATAAGTGCTACTCAGGGCCATGCACGAGGCTTGACAGTCACTGCTGCGCCCACTCGTTGCCACCTCCACTGGGTGCCACACCCATGCCATGCAGGGGGCAGTTGCAGTGGTCACACTGTGTGTCCTCAGAATTCAGAATGCATCTGCACAGCGAGATCTTCAAGCTTCATAAACCTGAGCAGCTGCTTTTTCTGCTTCTTTCTCTGCTCTGGAAAAGTTTCAGGAAACTCTGGGGCGAGCTGACCTGTCCTGAGCTCTTTTAGGAGGAATTTCCTGAAGTCATTGGTATCTCCAGGTGTGCATTCTCTCCTAGTCAAGTTTAAAATTTTATATTTTCTCAAAAAATAATCAATCACATAAGATTTTTGCCTGTGCTAGCATAACATAGAGAGAATAAAACGCTTTTTAAAGTCTTATCTTTTTCCTCTGAAGTTTATCAAAGACGCAGCTAGATTCCGGAGGACTTTCCCCTAACTGCAGCTCTCGAATTTATCCTTGAATCTGTTTTTCTGTTTTCAGATTCGGAAATTTCTGTGTCGTCTTTATTGGTGACTCGGTGTCTGCTGCTTCCTGCTTTCTAGTTCCTTTCCTTGTGGAGTTAAGCAGCTGGTTCATTGGCTGTAATTCCATTTTGATTATGAAAACATTCAAGGTTTTGGGTTTGCAGGGACTCGATCTCTGGGTTTCACTGTACAACAGTCGTATTGCTATATTATTATTAAACAAAAGAAATATTTTTAAAGCCTCTAAAAATAACTTTGGTTCCTGTTGACACATGGTTATTTCAGTGTCGTCCAGATTTCTAAAAGATCTTTTTTCAGTTTTCTTGTTAACTTTTAATTACATCATTTCAGTGAAAGGTCTTAGTCAGGCTACATGGGGTAGCTGACACCTGTAATCTCAGTGCTGTGGGAGGTCAAGCGGGGAGGATCGCTTAAAGCCAGAAGTTCAAGACCAGCCTGGGCAACATAGTGAGACACTGTCTGGACAAAAGAATTTCAGAAATTAGCCAGGTGTGGCTGCCGGCACCTGTGCTTCCAGCTACTCTGGGGGATGAGGTGGAAGGATTGCATGAGCATAGGAGGTCAGGGCTGCAGTGAGCTGTGACTGCCCCATTGAACTCCTGCCTGGGTGACAGAGAGAGACCTGTCTCTAAAAAAATAAAACAAAAAACAGTCCTGTTCCATTTTGCTTGTTAGGGTATTTTTGAGGTTTTCAATATGGCCCATCATTTTATTATAAAATGTTGTCACAGTCCTATGAGTTTTGAGAAAAAAAAGTAGTATGTTCCACAGGTATACTCAAAGTTGAATGCAGATCTGTTGATTCCACCTTCTGGATTTCACTCATTTCACCTTTCAAATCCCATGGCCTCCATCCACTTCCCTGAGGGAGGCCCCAGGCTCCAGGAAGCACCGCTCACCTGTCGTGGGCCAGCGATCAGGTCCCCCTCCTCACTACAAGAGGTTTCGCGTCAGCTGAGTGAAAGGCGGGTCTGATTCTTAATGCTATGAATCTCACTCTGTGTCCAAAATAAAATGAAGCCTCTGCCTGACCCTTCCCCACTCCATGGAAAACTCGAGTTTCGTGTCCGCCTGTGTCTTTCCATTTTCTCCCCAAGTTTGCAGCCTTTCCTAGCTTACTCTGGACTTGGGACCCCGGTAACCGTCATTCAGTGGTTTCTAAAAAATTAGAAAGGCCGAGACACACATGCAGTGGGTCCCAGGCTTTCCCTCGGAACTGTGGAGGCCGCTCCGTTTTCTTGCCTTTGTTGTGACCCGGCTTTGGTGTCGGAACACGAGGCCGTTTCAAACTGTGATTTCCGCTGTCTTCACCTGTGTTGTGGATGTCCGCCGGGTGTCCAAGCTCTCGGTGCAGACACCGAACTCAGAGTGTTGTACGCTCACCTCCCTCCCTGTCACTGACGGACCCTGGACCTGCAGTCGGTGGCTCTCAGTAAACCCCTGACCATCGACTGTCCTTCCAGTTCCTAAGGTGGATGAACAACCAGCTGTGGTCCCCACTGTACCTCAGATGGGTCACGCTCGAGGAACTGGTGGGAGGGGAGGCACGCCAGGCGCCCGGCCCCGGCCCGGCCTCGCCACAGTGCCACAGTGCCACAGGCTGACCGCTTCTCGCTTCGCTCCTGCCTTTCAGATCCGGTCCGACAAGGACAACGACATCCCCATCCGGTACAGCATCACTGGAGTGGGCGCTGACCAGCCCCCCATGGAGGTCTTCAGCATCGACTCCATGTCGGGCCGGATGTACGTCACACGGCCCATGGACCGCGAGGAGCACGCCTCTTACCACGTGAGTGTCCACGCCCGGGCAGGAACTGGGGCCCGGGGCCGCCATCCCAGCCCCACCAGGCCCCCAGCAAGGTCCATGCCTGCCCTAATCTACAAGCAGCGCTCCAACTCTGGCCTGGAGCAGAATCTCCTGGGAGGCTGGGGAAGGGGCCATCTCCATGTCGCTGGGCACTGCCCCCCGTCTCTAATTCTGCGGGATGAGCCCAGGGCGGGCCTGGGAAACTGCATTTCACACACTCCCCGCATGCCAGTCAGGCCCAGGCTCACACCGGGACAACCGCCGGTCCAGGTCTCCATCCACGTGGGCTTCTGGTTTGGACCACTCTGCGGGGCTGGGAGTTAGGGTCATCAGCCACCCTGCGCCCTCAGGGCCCTCATGCTGCCCTTGGTGCCTTCCTCTGAAGCACGGCCCATGGTCCTTCCCACCCTCTCCAGTCTGGGACATGCGACCTGCAGGCTTTTGACTTCCACCGCCGTCCCTGATAGCAGCAGAAAGAGCCTCTGAAGGGAGAGCCACGCTGATTCCCTGTCACCAGCTGTGCACAGAAAGAGAAATTCCAGAGAGACATGGCGCTGTGGCCTCAGCTTCCCGGGGGGCGGGGGACGGACCTTCTCCCCATGGGGCCACACTCACCCTGGCTGGGAGGAGGGGCCTGGGCCGTGGTGAAAGCAGTGGGGGGTGCACGTCCCTCCACCTCAGAGTCTGGGGCTGCCGATCACGTGCTGGTGAAGGCCACACCAGCAGGGCCGCACAGGCTGGAGCCAGATCTCGAGGGTCAAGCCCAGACCTGCCCCCTGCCAAGTGTGTGCTGTCAGGCAATGATGTGGCCTCTCCTGGCCTCCGTTCCCTCCTCCTCCTCATGGGTTGTTCTGAGGGCTCCAGGTTGACCGAGTGAGGCTCTCCTCACACGCCTGTGCTTCAGGGCCGGGTGCTCCCTCTGGGTAGCTCGGGGACAACCGTGGAGGACTCAGCCCTGCCTGACGCTGTTGTCTCTTCGGCTCTACCTTCACTTGGCTTCAGCCAGTGGCACCGAACAGGACCCGACCCTGTAGCTTCTCTCGTCTACTGAGTACTGGGGGGTCCGTTCTTTCCATCTCGCACTAGAAGGAGGCTGTGTAGGGGCAGGGAATTGTCCAGCTTGTCCACGCCAGATCTCAGGCCCAAGAACAGAGCCTGGCCTTTGGGGGGCTCACTAACCATTCAAGGAAGGGAGGGTGTTGATGGGAGGAGGTCAGTTTTGCTGTTGGCCGTGATGGCTTCCCCGACAGGCCCCTGAAGCACCCGTCTGAAGCAGGGGTGGGGCCCGATGGATCCTAGGGAGCCCACCTGGGAGGTGGCTGCCCTTACCTCGGTCTGCCCTGGGGCCTTATCAGCCCCTCACAGCTGCCTCCTGGGAAGGCTCATCCCTCGGCTGGGTGTTGGGGAGACCTGACTGACAGTGCCTGGGCCTCGTGTGCTGGGCCCACAGGAGTGACCAGGGCAGATCCGCAGAGCCAACCAGAGACTCCGGCTGATGCTTACCAGTCGCGCAGCAAGAGACAGGCCCTCGGCATGGCTGCCGGCTCCCAAAATGGGCTTAGGGCTGCCGTCACCACACGTCCCTAACAGGCCCAGGAATGGGGACTCAGCAGCCCTTACTGCCAAGAAATAGCTACAGACCAAGGACTTAGGGAGAGACACAGACACACAGAGATAGAGATACGGAGACAGAGAGGGAGGCAGAGACCCAGAGGGAGACACAGGAGACAGAGGTGCCCAGATGCCCGCATGTCCTTCTCTCCTGCCTCCAGCTGGAGAACACTCAGCTTTCGAAGTCCCCTGTGGTTGGATGATGCCCAGCCAGCTCCATCTTAAGGTCAAAAACGTAGCCTGGGGCCAGCACCTGACACCCTCACGGCCACCTTAGAGTTTCCTGTCTCCTCAGTGTCCTTTGATCCCGTTCCATTTTCCACCCAGCTCTGTGGGCTGACGACGGTGGCAAGGACGCACCCCCAGCCTGGGTGTCCTGACGACTGTGACACCTGTCACCCTAAAGCCAGCCGGTAAACACTCAAACACATGACACACACGAGTGGTCACTCCTGGCTTTGCAGGGTGATGCTCCAGAAGATTCCTTTAAGGATTCCGTAAGGTAGACATACTAGCTCACCTGGCCACACACTGTCATCTTCTGAACGTTTTCTAACCTTCCTGAGCCTCAGTTTCCCATTTGTAAAATAGGGACCAAGACAATGCCAGTCTCACAGACGCTGATGGAAGCTGGTGTTCACGTGTGTAGGTTCTTACGGCACTGCCTGGCCTGAGCGAACGCACCGTGCGTGTGGGCGCCAATGTGACTGATGAGGAAAACCTCCAACACGCACACCCCTCCACCACTCCCAAGGCCCCCTGAACTGTTCCCAGTTCCACACTCCTTGAAGGGAACCCTCACCCACAATTAAGATAGGAAGAAAAGAGAGGCGGGAGAATTAGATCCCAGGCACACCTGGAGGATCATCTGTCAACAGACACATTTCCCCCAGTGCATCCCACCCAATGCAAGCCACGCCCAGTGCATCCCACCCAATGCAAGCCACGCCCAGCACATCCCACCCCAATGCAAGCCACACCCAGTGCATCCCACCCAATGCAAGCCACGCCTAGCACATCCCACCCAATGCAAGCCACGCCCAGCGCATCCCACCCCAATACAAGCCATCCCCAGTGCATCCCACCCAATGCAAGCCACGCCCAGCTCATCCCACCCCAATATGAGCCATCCCCAGTGCATCCCACCCAATGCAAGCCACGCCCAGTGCATCTCACCCCAATGCCAGCCACACCCAGCACATCCCACCCATTGCAAGCCACGCCCAGCACATCCCACCCATTACAAGCCACGCCCAGCTCATCCCATCCAATGCAAGCCACACCCACATACTATATTTCCTAATCTTTTCTCCCAGAATAAGAACAGAAAAATGTCCTATTCAGGCCAGGCACGGTGGCTCACACCTATAATCGCAGCACTTTGGGAGGCTGAGGCAGGTGGATCATGAAGTCAGAAGATGGAGACCATCCTGGCCAACATGGCGAAACCCTGTTTCTACTAAAATAAAAATAAAAATAAAAATTAGCCAGGCATGGTGGCGCACGCCTGTAGTCCTGGGTACTAGGGAGGCTGAAGCAGGGGAATCACTTGAACCCGGAGGCGGAGGTTGTAGTGAGCCAAGATCGCGCTATTGCACTCCAGCCAGGCGACAGAGGGAGACTCTGTCTCAAAAAAACAAAATGTCCTATTTACAGTGTTGTGGGAAATGCGCTCTGCGCCTGACGCTCAGATTTTGCAGGTCGCAGGAAGCTCAGAGGGCTCCTCCACCCACATTTGTTTGTTTCACTGCCATGGCGAGGTCACCTCTCTCGGGCCCACCGCACGTGTGCCCAGCCCGAAAGGTGGATGGGGGAGATTTCCAACAGGAGCTGTCAAATGTAATCAAAACTTTTGGGGGTCAGGCAGGGAGTGGGACAAGGAGGGTGCAGGCCGCGGGCAGGGGCAGAGGCAGCGTTTCCTCGTTATCTGCACTCCGCCCCCTCCTGCTGCTAAAGACAGCACCTGAAACCGCTTTCGATAGGAGGTAATAACTTTAACTGTAGCTCAGAATTACTTTGACTGGGCGTGTGATTGCACGGCTGCATTTCACAACCGCCGCCCGTGGAAGCACGTCCACAGCAGGACGGAGCCGCAGATGGGTCGGGGACGGGGGCGGCTGGTTACAGCCACCACACGGCATTCCAGGCTGTTCACACGTGATACATACAGCTGACTTGGCATGTGCGCGTCTCGTCTTGTGCTGCAGTCTGCAGTTCCTCCAGGAGTCAGGCCTGGTTTGTCTCTTTACTACAGCACAGATTGCCTCTTTGGGGAAAGCCAGCCCCCAGATCTTCCCTAAACATGCAGCATAGGGGTAAAATTCCACTCTGCATTGTTGGAACCAAGCCAGAACACTGGCATGGGCATGGACACAATTAGCTCCCGGGTTTCCCTGGGCAGGCGTGGAATGCAGGGCCCCTGATCCCCAGAGGTCGGGGAAGCAGGAGTGGCCATGTGAGGCCAGCCACCAAGGGGATGATGTGGAGACCCCTCCGGCATGGGGCTCCTCTCCCGGCCACCCTGGGCTTGGTGATGTTTTGCTGCAAATACCTTGAGGTCTGTTGTGTCCAACTTCGAGGGTGATGGGTTTTGGCAGAAAGACGTGAGCTGAGAACCCCTCTGGGTGACCATCCAGCTCTGAGTGGAGAGGCCTGGGACATGCTTTCCACCCTCTGGCAGCCCCTCAGCAGCCCCCTCGCCTGCCGGCAGCGCCCAGCCTCTCCGTGTCCTCTTCCGGCAGCGCCCAGCCTCTCCGTGTCCTCTTCTGGCAGCGCCCAGCCTCTCCGTGTCCTCTTCCTTGCCCGGGTCTCGAGGTCTCAGCTCAAGCAGCCCCTCCTCTGAGAGGCCTCCCTGGCAGCCACCACACCCACTGATGGCTTCTTCTCTTCCTGGTGTCCATTGTCCCTGGGATGGACGCTCCAGGCAGCCACTCTGGTTGATTTCAGTGCATAGTAATCCAGGATCCAGCCCCGCACCTGGCATTCCAGGCCCTTGATGGGCAGCTACGGAATCAATGAATGAATGAATGAATGAACAAATCCAGAACTGGAGGGGTGACTCTGAGAGCTGCTGTGGAACCTTCCAGCCCAAGTCCAGCTCTTCCCTTTTCACCCCGAAGCCGGTTCCCTGTGATGTTCCCAGGAGCTCCTCACCAGCTTCTCGGCCTGGCCTCTCCATAGATGTCCCCAGCACCACCCATTTTCCCCTGTTGTGCTAAGCCCAAGAGCTGACAGGACACGCAGATGCAGAGGATCCTGGAGCTCATCCAGGCTGGGCTGTCAGTGGGCGCCCAAATGGGCCCAATTCCCAGCCCCAGCTCTGGCCTCTCTGCATACCCCCATCTCCCCTGGGGACTAGCCCCCACCCAATTAGGCACAAATGCCTTTTCTGTTTCCACTGTGGGCAGACATGACCCCATCCAAGGGGCACCTGTCCTGCCCCAGATACCTGATCAGATCGGTCGGTGGCTCATAGAACAGTCAGGCAGGCATGGGAGGTCCTGGGTGGGCCTGGCCCTGAGGCTTCGGGGCTTAGGCTGGCTTCCAGCTCTGTGCGTCACCTGCTCTGCAGAGGAGTGAGCTGAGGCTCGGAAAATTCCATGACGTGTCCAGCCCCCAGCCCCTAGCCAGCCTGCCTCTGCCATCAGCCTCACACCCCAGTGCTGCAGGTCCTAAGGGCCACTCTCAGCTGAGTGGGGGTGCCCACCCAACACTGGGCCCTGACGTGTCTCTGCTGCCTTCCAGCTCCGAGCCCACGCCGTGGACATGAACGGCAACAAGGTGGAGAACCCCATCGACCTGTACATCTACGTCATCGACATGAATGACAACCGTCCTGAGTTCATCAACCAGGTCTACAACGGCTCTGTGGACGAGGGCTCCAAGCCAGGTGAGGCCGAGCACATTCGAGTTTGCTTGATGGAGAGCCACCGGGATCTGCAGGCTGAGCACAGGCCCCGAGGGCTGGGGAGGGCTGTTCAGTCCCTGCCACCAGGATGGTGCCCCAGGACTCGGGCGCAGACACACAGCACGAAGCAGGCGTCCACCAAAGTCCCTGCTCTAACAGGCCTCGGGGTCGAGGGGGGTGCAGACCACAGGAGAAGCGATTGCAGCCATGGCAGGAATGGAGGGCTCAGAAGGAAACCCGGGTACTGGAGTCCTGGCCCAGCCATGGGCCCAGGCAGGACCCTCTGTGCGCTGACACGTGGGCTGGGAGCTTAAGCCTGAGGAGGCGCAGCACCCAGAGCGGGGCTGGGGTGGGATCCTGGCTGTTGGGGAGGCCGGGCAAGCAAGGCACAAGTGCCAGGGCCCTGGAGGAGGCAGTGAGTTCAGAGAGCTGAGGCCACTGGAGTCCTCCCGGCTACACTTAAGATTTGGTTCCAAGCTAAATGGGAAGGAAGAGAGGCCCAGATTCCCCTTGCAGAGGTGAGCCCTGTGGCTAAGGCCGTCTGCTGGCTCAGAGCTGACCCAAGAGCCTGCCCCCGAGGCTTCACCCTGGCACAGGTGGTGGCACCCTCTTTGCCACGTGTGGGGCCCTAGCTGAGCGTGTCATGTCTGGCATCTCTGACCCCTGTGACTGCCAAGGAGCAGGCATCCCCTCACCAACAGTGAGGAGGCTCAGGCTAGAGAGACAAAGCGGCTACCCACACCCTCAGGGCACACATGGGTTGGAACCTGGGCATCCCCGCAGGCTCCCCAGCCCCCACCTGCTCATCCAGATGCCATAGGTGGCCCAGGTCTGCAGGTTAACAACCCCCAGCTGGCTTCCATGTGGGGAGAGCAGCTTCCCAATGTGGCTGCATGGGGGACGGAGAAGGGTCCTCTTTGGGCTAAACCTTTGCCTGGCTTGGCTTGGGTGGGGGGAGATGAGGTCACTGTGCTGGGGCCGCCCCTGAAGTACAAGACACTCAGGTAAACGTGAAGTTCAGAGAGACAGAAAAACACCTCAAAGTATGGCCCAAGCACCATTTAGGACCAACTTACACTGAGAGAGTCATCCTTGCTGACCTGAGCTTCAAGTTTAACGGGGTGTCCTATATTTTCACCAGCAGCCACACCTCTGGCCAGTGCCCAGCGAGCACGGCTTCCAGGCTCTAAGAGGCTGGCAGTGCTGGGCAAATGGGGAGGCTGTTTGTGCATTGAAATCTGGAGCACCCAGAGCCCAGAGCCATGGCCGGCTCCTGGGGCACCACATGCCCCTGCAGGGCCCCTATGAAGGGGCGGCAGCATCCCGGCTCCGGGACAGGAAGGAAAAGCTTTACCATGCCTGTTCGCAAGGCAGCTGCATGGTCAGCCCTGGGCTGCAGTGTGAACAGGGTGAATTACACCCTTGGTCTGCCCCTGGGCTGCAGTGTGAACGGGGTGAATTACACCCTTGGTCGGC